GCTTATATTTTCAACTTTACTCCTTTTCTAATATATGTATTTAAACTATAAACTTTCCTGTATCACACAATTCTTTATGCTGTAGTTTTATTATTTTGAAATATTAGAGAGGGATAGAGTAGCCAGCTCTGCATTGTTTAAGAGCAGGAGTAGGAATAAAATAAGAAATAACGGTTAACATTTACTGAGAACTAACTATATGCCAGCCACCCCTGTAATCACTGTAAACCAAAAAACCAAACCCACTGCTGTTGAGTTGATTCCAACTCATATAGTGACCGCTATACGTATTGTAAAAATGGCATGGCAGAGGCATCTGACCTCCTTTAACTTCACGAGGGGGATAGAGAATCATTACCAGCATCAACAGCCCAAGGTTGATTCCTACGAGGTGGAGGTCAGATATACCTCCTCTCTCCAACCTTTTTATCAGTTCTGACACCAAATCATCCCTCCCACAGCACTACTTCTCTGCTGGGTTCAAAAATTCATTGTAATGGCCACACAGAACTCACAGAGCATACAGCTATGGGGTTTATTAGGGAAACAACAGGTTACAATTCAGGCTCAGGAATGCTCAGGATAGTTCTTCCATCAAGACAGCTTCTTCTCAGCTGTGCTGCAGGCAGGCCTCTGGCCCTCGACTCCTTGGGCCTCTTGGGCCAGCCAGGCCTCTCCCCTGCTCAGGTAAGCGTTACAAAGCTTTTAGCTCTGCCGATAACTGTCTGGAGGCACCCCACTCTGCCAGTAAGCCCCTGCCCGAAGGCGCTCAGCTCGCTCGCTCTCTCTCGCTGTGTGGGTCAGCACACCCAGTATAACTGCCTTGCTCTGTGGGCCAGGAAGCCCACCCATGCCATCTCCTGCCAGTCTCCTGGTTCTGCTGCCTCTGCTGCCGTTTCTCTGCCACTGCTTCTCGTCATCTCTCACTGTGTCTGGTGTTACTGCTCTCTGTCTCCTGCATCTAGGAGGTTCTCAGTGCAGGGATTTTGGGTCCAAAGGACATGCTCCTCTCCTAGCTCTTCTTCTTAGTGGTAGTCAGGTCCTGCCTTTCTGCCTCTGGGATGGTTCATTTTAACCCTCGTGGGATAGCAAAACTGACTAATCCCCTCATTAGTGTTCCATACACTTTATTTGCATAGTCTCATTCCCACAAGTGTGCCATGCACGTTATTTGTATTATTAGCAAGCTGTGCAATCCCCTTGGTGGGCCTCAGGCACTTTATTTGCATAGTCCCACCCAATCTTTTGGTGGGAATTACAAGACCATGGCTAGAAAGGCCATATAAAGGCAATCACTGCACCACACATATACTACCTATTAAGTAGCTCAACAGCCCTATGAAGAAGGTACTTGTCTTAGCCTGAGTCACTTAGAACACAGAGCCTGAAACCAGAATTAAGTGTCCATGTTTTATTTGTGAGAGGCAAATTCAGGGCATTGAGAGTGATAAAAGGGAAGCAAGGCAGGAAAGAATGGGAGGTAACACAAGGTGATGTATTACCAAGACGTGTACTGCTTCATGACAAGAGGCACAGCAGGCGTGTCCATGGGCTTTGTGGGAGCCTCCCCAGAGGCTGCACTGTTTGGAGAAATGGTGCCTTACAGCAATTCATGGGAGAGAGGGAAGGACTGCCAGGCTCTCCCATCTCCCATTAGTCAAATTTTATCCACAAGTGTTAAGTCCCCCATATTTCTGGGTTGCTTGTGGCTACTTAAGATGCCAGATCCCATGCCCTGTGGTGAGGTATTTCATCCAAGACTGGAAGTGGTGGGAGAACTCTGGGCATGTGGCTGGTAAGGGCCTGAGAGAATCTGATGAGGTACATAAGATGTGTCCAATACTGTCTTTCTCATTTTCCAGAAGAGGAAACAAGGCACAGTTCCCAAGGTCACATGGCTAGTAAGTGGTAAATTCAGGATTTGAACATAGTCTGGCTCTGGAAACTGTGGAAAACCAAGATAAATAACTTGGATTTTATCTAGCAGGCAAAGGGGAGTCGCTTAAGGGCTTCAAGCTAGGGAGTGACATAAGATAAAGAGCCTAATAAAGCTCCCCCCACTACCATGCTCCATCTTCCCATCTGACTAAACTCGGTCAAAGTAGGTAGCCTCGGAGAGATGAGGGCATACATGACAGAAAGGAACCTTGAAGCGTCCCTGACTGGCTCCAGAGCTTTACTGGGGCTTCAACAGTGCCCCATAATCTTTCTGTCTTCATCTAAGCCTACATCTACCAAAGAGACTAGCTGGTCAGAAGCCAAAACGAAGGGAAGAGGGAGACTGAACTAAAGACCAGGAGCAGGAGGTCCATCCTTCTGTTCACTGTTGGCCTGTGGGTCTGGGGATCCAGGATCCCGCACATGAATCCTTAGGTGTTGCTTGAGATGATCAGATCTCATGAATTGTCGGCCACACTGGTCACATGTATGTGGTCGATATCTGGTATGTATCCGCATATGTCGTCCAAGCTCATCAGAACGGGAAAAAGTCCAGTGACAGCCTTCCCACTTGCATCCATAGGGCCTCTCACCTGGGAGGAGGGGTGACATGGAAGAGAGGGAATTAAATAGAGGAACAGACCAGCAGGTGGGTAGGAGCGGTCAGGGAGAGCCTGAGGTCTGACTGACTTTATGGGGCAGAGCAAGGCTGAGGAGTCAAAAGGGAAGACAAAAGAAACCAGTCAAGGGCCAACACAATTAGTAGTGCCTCTCCCCATCGTCTTGGCAGTCATTCTGGACGGCAAGTTGGTGGGACCAGTATAACTTGGTTCCAAGCTTAAAGGATGAGAGGCTAATCACAAATAGTTATAAACCAGTGGTCCAGCACAAGGGCTCCTTACGTCCCCACCCCAGTTACCCAACAGACACCTTATTCACCTGTGTGTTTGCGCTGGTGATTCACAAGGTGGGAGCGCTTGGTATAAGCTTTTCCACAGTTCTCATAATGGCAGCAGTAGGGTCTTGAAACTGGTGATCTCCTACTGGGTGCCCCTTCCTGGGCCCTGGAGGTCTGCTCTGCTCTCTGTGGAGCAGGTATGGGCTGCTCAGGTAGGAAGGGGTCTTCCTGGGAGTCTGGATAGCTCATAAGAGAATCTTGAGATTCTAAATCCAGCAATGATGAGGACGCAGATGGGGGCATTCCAAGGTTGTGGGGATCTCCAGGGGGCAATATCTGAGTCAAAGATGGGGGCATTGCCTGGGCCTCAGTAGAAGACATGGTTGGGGCCAATAACATTCTATTGGTTAAAAAGGCTGTGTTAGAAGGTAGTGTTGGGGTCCCAGAATAAGGCACTGTTGGAACCCTAATGTGGGACATCGGGATTGCATTAGGAGTGGAGACTGGAGGCCCACTGGAGGGCATCCTTAGATTCCCACTGAAGGTCAAGGGCACCCCTGGAGCATTGGGCTCTCCTGAGGGCAACATCTGGGACTTATTGAAAATCATCATCTCTGGCTGGGAGGGAGACACTCCCTGACAGTAAATCATCTGGGAAGGCATAAGAGTTGCTTGGGAGCAGTAGCTCACACTATGCTCAGGCAGCGACATACTGAACTGTGGCCCCAATTCACCCGCATTCTGCCTGGGTGCCTCAGCAGACACCAAGGGGATCCTCGCCAGCTCTGTGCCCTGTGGAAAGTGTTGAATGCCTGGTGGGCCGTGGTTCCAAGAGTTGTGCGCTCCACTGCATCCAGGAGATGTAGACATGTCCAGGAGGGACACTGACTGCTCAGTAACCTTGAAAAGAGTCAGGTGAAGTTGATGTTAGCTCAAATTCCAGTTCCACATGTCCCTCCTCCTCATCCCCAATGACCCCATCCTAATCCAGGCGTCTATCATCTCCTGCCTGAATTATCCTGCCTCCAGACCACCATCCACCCTGGGCTTTCTAAAACGTAGGTCTAGCTGATAGGATTACAGTGAAAGTCTAGATATGACTCATGCCACTTTTCTTCCTTGGCATTTTTATATATATAAGTTTATTCTTACAATTAAGGTGTAAGCTGTGGTATAATATTCCACATCTTACACCTTCAGCAAAACTCAGATAAAACTTTTGAACTCCAAATCATATATGCATAAAGATAAAAGGACACCCCTAACCAGCTGGATGGGTGCAAGAGGCCACAAAGGTAGGAAGAATGGAGGATTCAGAGGAGACCCGGCTTTAGTGAAACTTAGAAATCATCTGCAATTACTTGTCTCCAGAAGAAAGCCTCACCCTGAGTGGAAACTGCTGTGGGCAGGTCTGAGAATGATCAAGTAGAGGAGACGAGGAGGCAGACATAAAAATAAGGGATCGTTTTGGAAGTCGGGCAATATCCCTTGATGGCTGTGACTGGTATGAAGGGAAGGAAAGAAGAATTTGGTAGTAAAACTCCTTGAAAACAAGGATTCCAAGGAAACAAGGAATGTAAGAATCCTATTTTTAAAAAACTGTCCATTACTGTAGCAGTAGGAGAGGGAGCTCTTGAGCTGAGAAACTGGGAAAGCTATCCCTACATCTCCCATCCACTCCTCCACTGGGATGGTTCAGAAAAGACAAATTCATTCAAATATGAAAAGAAAAACCTAAGTAAAAAATCCATAAAAGATAATAAAACAGAAATTGAAGACTGTAATTTCTCAGAAGAAAAATAAAATTCACTAGGAAAATGTCACAAATCAAGGAAAAAATGTAACACAGTACTCAAACAAGAATGAAAACAAAAACTTGAAGAAGGAATTGCAGCTATAAAGAAACATCATAGAACAGATATAGAGTAACTGAAATGAGTTATGTGCAGACAACAGGATAGGGGTTACTTTAGGAGGGAGGGAGGGGGCAGGGAGAGAGAAGCACTGAAGGGGATGCTGGGGGGGCCAGCAATGTTCTATTTCTTGACCTGAGTAGTAGTTTCAAAGGTATTTATAATAATTCATTAAACTGTACTATTTATATTCACTTTTATGTTTAAGTGTTATTTACACAATAAAATGGTTTAAAATAAGTTAATACTGTGAAAAATCAAGATTTTCAGCATAAGTTAAAAATTCTGTTACAAAAATCAGAGAATTAAAAACAATGCTAAATTTAAATTGGAAATATTCTAAGCAAACTCGTAATTTTTAAAACTATGTATTTTCTAGTTCTGTTCACAGAAATAGCCTATAGAAGCAATTACCACTCCAGTAACAATGAGTACCACTAGTGCCCAGATATTGGTCTCTAATTTCATTCCTAACTAAAAGGAGCAATGATCCTTGGAGAATTTGTTGCCTCCAAATCTAGCACAAAGAAGGTTTGTTGTGTCAGAAAATAAGGATGCTTTCAAAGATGATTAACATATCAAAAGGACACAGGAGTCGACTTGAAGGGGTTACCACTGGCCAAATTTGTAACAATTTGGGCATCAAAAATAACTATTGATTGAAATAGATTGAACCATAAAAATTCATGAGCCCAAAGTGACAAAAGGCGAGCTATTAGACCAACTTCGAACATTGATAGCAACCACCATACATCTGTCAGTGGTGGATTTCGTGTTGCTATGATACTGACCTGGAGCCCTGGTGGCATGATGGTTAAGAGCTTGGCTGCTAGCTGCTAACAGCAACAACGTGATGCTGACCAAGTTTCAGCAGCGCTTCCAGACTCAGACTAAGACAGACTAGGAAGAAAGGCCTGGGGATCTACTTCTGAAAATTAGCCAATGAAAACACAATAGTCCAATCTGAAACTGATCATGGGGATGGCTCAGGAGCCGAGAGCATTTTATTAGGTTGTTAATGTCAACGGGCCAACTCATAGGCAGCTAACAAGGTAATATTTACACAGATCACTTTCTGGACACAAGGGGGAAAGGTAACTTTGAATAGCAAGAATAGGTAACTGATCAAAGACCTTAATACAAGGGCCAAACATAGTATACTAAATGTGGGAAGCCAGATGTAGCTCCCAACAGAATGCAAGATGAAGCCTACCACACAAGGTACTCTTCCCAAAAAATTTTAATCCGATTAACTTTAAGAACTAATTCCTATTTAGAGATAATATAAGGGATTACCTTGATCGGATCAAACTGACACTATAAGAAAGGAATCTAGAAATACAAAAGAAATATTCTACAAGACGAAAATCAGGATCATGAAAAACAGAAAGGTTCATGAACAAAGAAACTATTCTAATTTAAAAGAGATGCAAGCGACATATCAGATGCACTATGTGGTCTTGGACTCAATCCTGGCTTTGGATATACCAGCGGTAAAAAACATTTTAGGAACAACTAGGGAATTTGAATAAGGACTGCAACACTAAGACCAATTAAGAAATTATCATTAATTTTGATAGGTTTGATAATGCTGTTTCCTACATAGGAAAAAGTCCCAGGAGGGTTGGGGAGATCCTGTCTGTCTATTTAATTCACCACTATGTGTTCAGAAACTAGCATAATGTCAGGCACATAACAGGTATCAGAAAAACATCTGTTGGATGGATATTTCTGGGATACTCAGCAATGGCTCTCTCTCCAGCTCTTCACAAACAATCTTCTTTAAAGTTATTTGAACATAACTTCACCACCACTACCTCAATTTATCATTCCTCTAGATTCACTCTGGCCCCCATCTTGCCAAAGAACCAGCTTTCATAAAGGTCACCAATGACTTCCATGTCACTAAATGCAAGCAACACTTCAGATTCTTTCTTGCTTGACCTCTCAGGAGCTACTGAAAGCACTGGCCATGCTCTTCTTAAAATGCACCCTTCCCTTGGCCACATGTGACATAGTTTCCTGGTTTTTCTCCTCTTTCCTTTATTTCTGGCCCCCTCTTTTCAATCTCCTTTGCAGGCTTCCCTTACTCTACTCTCTCTGTGCAATCTTTTCCATGCTGATGGATCCATTCTTGTTCATATTCCAATTATTCCAAAATCTATAGCTTCTTCTGAATCTATCGCTTCTGAATTTTCCAGCTGCCTATTGCTCAGATCCATCTGCGTATCCCACAGGTACTTCAAATAGACTATGCTGGAAACTCAAGATCATCCTTACCCTTCCCCCCTGAAAAAACTAGTAATCCTGTTCCATCTCATTCTTTGCTCTCCATAGCAGAAACGTCAAAACCATTCCTACCCAAATGTGCAAGCCAGAAATCTAGAAAATTATCCTGGATGCCTCTCTCATCACCTAGATCCTATTAACTACCAATTCGTGGGGAGTCTATCTCCAAAACATCTCCAGAACTATTCAGTCTTCTCCATCACCACTCTCATCTCTCTACTTACGCCGACATTTTTAATTCTCACCTGGATTACCCCAATAGCTTTCTAACCATTGCCTTGCATTCTGCCCACATCTGCCAGGGTACTCTTTTTAAAAATGCAAATCTCATTATGACTGATAATGTTTAAACTTACCAATGGTTTCCTACTGCTCTTGAAATAACCAAATCAACCCCTGCACAACATTAATGGTGTCTGAGGCCCAGGCCTCTGCTACACTTGAGCCAATCTCCCATCACTGTCTCTTGGCCTTGGTCTTGTATAGTCTATCATTCAAGGTGGCATACTGTCTCGTCTTAGGACCTGGACACCCTTCACCTGACCAGTTCTCTAGTCCCAGATCAAATTCTCAGATGTCTTCTCTGACCCCCTAAATCAGATTAAGCACTTCAATTTGCTTCCATGGCCCTCTGTACTCCTCCTTCACACCAGTTTCTACAGTTTCAACCAGCCAGTTGATTATTATAAAATGGTATAATATACTGTCTTATGGTAAAGTCACCACTGTATTCCCAGGGCCTAGCAAAGGCCCGCCACTTACTAAGCCTTCACTTAAAAAAATTTTTTTTTCTCCCTGTCCGCTTCCTGCTGACTCCCTAACTCTATCTTCGCTTTCCTGGGTACCCATGTCCTATCCCCCTCCCTCTACGGGAGGTTGTCTGGAACCTTTCAACTCGAGCGCCGAGCACAGCGGTAAATATTAATTGAATAAACGACATGTGGTTCTGTTCCCGATCTCCCATCCCTATCCTCCCTAACTCCCTCCCTCGGGTTTCTAACCCCCACCCCACCCCAGATTTCCGATTCTCTCCTTTGGCCCAGAGCCCCACCCGGCCCTGGGGCAGATGCCCGGACTCACCACCACGGGCTGGTGCCCCACCACCTTCTGCCACTGGCTCAGCTCGTTGGCCTCCTGCTCCATCTTGGCCTCGAATCAACTGCACATCCGGACTGCATGCGGGTTCAGGCCCACTTCAACCAGAGCTGAGGCCCGCCGCTGTGGCGTCGCAGCTCTGGTCTCCGCGCACCACCACGCCACAATCACAGCGCTCAGCTTCTAGTTCCCGCCGCGCCAGGGGGCGGAGTCAAGAGTAGTACCCTCCCGCCAGCCTCCAGCTCCACCTTGCCCCGCCCAGCCTGCTTACTTGATCTTCAGCCTACCAGAACGTTGGCAGGGTCGTTAATAGGATATCTCACACCTTTACCACTTCTTAATTATGCCCACCCTGCCCGTCCTACCCCACTGACCCTCCAATCTGAGCATTTCTGTTTGACCCAAGTAGAGCCTGGGGACTTCGAGGTTTCGGATTTCGGGCACGCTTGAGAAATGGGGAAAGGAGGCTAGAGAGGGTGGCAGGGCCTGTGTTGGACCTCAGCAGACAGGAGAGCCTCCCACCCACACCAGGTCAGGGCTCTTGCCCTAAGCTCTGGAGGGCCCCCTCTGCGCTGCAGGCTGGGCACCTCTGTTTGTCCCTTTCCCTGTCCAACCTGAAGACTGGGGGCTTTGTGGCACAATTTCTTTATTCCACAAATATTTATTGAGTACCTAATGTGTCCCAGGCACTGTTTTTAGGAACTAGAGATGCAATGGCAAACAAGACAGAATAAAGTCTTTATTCTTAAGGAATTTCCATCCTAAAGGGGAAGATAAGAAATGAACAGTAAAGTCAATAATGAATACAGATTCAGATGGTGCTGAATGTGAGAACACAAGACAGGATAATGTGAGCTGAGAACTACATTTCAAAAGGAACCACCCATAAGAAGATCAAAGGGATCTGAGGCAAGAAAGAACTTAGCTGTTAGAGAGAGAATAGGAGGTTCAGGTGACCACAGTGAAGTGAGCAAGGGGGAGAGTAATATAACGTTAGGACAGAGAGACGGGCAGGACGGACTGCCTAGGTTCTTGAAGACCATGGAAAGTAGTTTGGATTTTCTTCTAAGTACAATGGGAAACCACTGAAGGACTTTAAGCAGGAAATTGATATGACCTGATTTACATTTTGAAATAATCATTTGGCTCCTTTGAGGCTTATGGACTATTGTGGGTGGAGGGAGGGAGATGGAAGCAGAAATAACAGTTTAAAAGTTTAAAGAGTGCTCCAAGGAAGAGATGTTGGTGTTTTGGTGGATGGTGGCCATGGTGATCAGAGAATATTTTGGAATTAAAGGGAGCAGGATTTGGTAATGTATCAGAAGAGGGTAGAGAGGAAATGAGGACTCAGAGATGACTCCTGATGATTAACATGTACAACTGAATGATGACTGCTCCATTTGGTGACAATGGAAAGATGGGAAAAGGAACAGATCTGGAGGCAGGTGAAACAAGAATTCCATTTTAGACATCTTGATTTCAGGCTGTAAATGTAAATTTGGGTGTTGTCAGCATAGAGATGGTAGTGAGACCCTGTAAACAACTCTTTCAAAGAAGTTTTGCTATGAATGAGAGCAGAGAAATGAAGTGGCAGTTAAAAGAGAACGTGGAGTTAAGGGAGGTCATATTACAGGCTGATGGGGGTCATTTAATACAGGAGAAAATGATATTGAAACAGAGAGAGGGCTTAACTGTAGGAGCCAAGTTCTTAATAAGTTAAGAGAGGATAGGACCCAGGGTACAAATGGATTAATGGACCTTTGGTGAGAGCAGGGACCCTTGCTGTCTCTAACAGGTAAGACAGCAAGCATCTCAGTGCTTCCAGCTACCAGCACGGGGTGGGGCTGAGAGCAGAAATGGTAGCTATGATGCAATGGCTAACACCTACTCAGGCCTCAGCTCAGGTATCACCTCATCTGGGGGCCATCTCTGACTCTCATTTGATGATGCTTCCACTTCCCATACTCCTAGTGTTTCTCCCAACATGTTGTTGTCGAGCCTATTCTGACTCATAGCGACCCCATAGGATAACTGCCCCGTGGGGTTTCCAAGGCTGCAATATTTTATGGAAGCAGACTTCCACATCTTTTTCCCATGGAGCAGCTGGTGAATTCGAACCGCTGACCCTTCAGTTAGCAGCCGAGTGCTTTAACCACTGAACTACCAGGGCTCCTTCTTCTCCTAATATGGCACTTACAAAATATTTGTGGAATGAATATGTGAAGCATGGAGCAAATCATTTTTAACACTCCCCTCCTCTACAAGACAAAATTATTTTCATAATTCAAATTTTATACTTTCAAATAATCATGAAAGAAAACAAATAATAATAATGGCCAGAAAAGAAACAGAGAAGCAAAAATTTTACTAAACTTTGTATGATACTTTCGTCAGTAAAATAAATAGAATTAATATTACGGTACAAAAAATGAAGGAAAAAGAAACCACAACTATTTCACTTTTGTATCTACCTAACTGCATGTTGATCCTTTGGTTAGTCTGATATAATACTTTATGTAAATGAACATCCAGTAACGAATAAATGAATTTTAACAAAACCAAAACATCTGGAAAAGGTACAATTTAGGAACTATTAAACCGCACCACTGGCATAACATTTATCTTCCTGATTTATCTATTGCTTTAAAACAATTAGCAATTTACAAAGAATAAATTTCCATTTAAAAAGCACTATTCAAATTCAGCCAAATATTTCATGTATGAATTAAAATTTGCACTTACTAAGCAAAACTATTTTGCCTCTGAGTTTCCCCTCTATTTCACTGGTTTAAATTTAACACAAAAACTCCAACTGGTTACACAGAATGACAGAAAAATTCTGTTCCTTTGGCTTTACAGTCACTGATTGTTAAGTCATGGTCATTTATTTTGCATCTGCTGTTTTTCTAGTGCCACAGGGATTGGAGATGTAAATTGCTCCCTACCTGAATAACTGAACCCATATAACGGTGCATTTTCCAAATGAACTTCCAAGTTCTTGATAAGTTAGGAGGCCACGGAAAGTAATTTGGATTGTTTATTAAAGGAGCAGTAATAAAAATGTGCTAATGTGAAGTTTACATAGATTAATAAAACTCAACAG